GACGTATTCGGGCCTCTTTTTTAACTTTTCTTCCGAAACACCTCATTGACAGCATATAGCAGAGCATTGAGAACTCACGCTTCGCGTCATCGCGCCTTCAATTTTTCAGATGCAGCATGGACATCCATCAAGTACGAATAGTCGTATCTCTGCGCCGTCGTAAACGCGCATCCTTTTCCTCCCTCTATTTCCATATTGTGTTTGTTTCCGTTTGTCTTATTCGTAATGGTGCTTCAAGCACTTCGTGAGTAACACAGCCGAAGGTACGAGAGATGTGTTCAGGCCTCTTTTTAAACTTTACTCCCGAATCTGAGCGACACCTCATTGACAGCATATAGCAGAGTATTTAGAGCTTACGCTTCGCGTCATCGCGCCTTCAATTCCTCAGATGCAGCACGGACGTCCATCAAGTACGAATAGTTGTATCTCTGCGCCGGCGTTAACGTGCATCCTTTCCCTTTATTGGTTTATTTCCACATTGTGTTTGTTTGCGTTTGTCTTATTCGTAATGATTCTTCAAACTAGTAACATAGAGCAGAGAATTGCGAGTTCACGACTCACGCCATCGTGTCTTACATTTTTCATATAAAATGTAGACATCCATCTGTGTGTCAACAAAAAGGTGAAGATTTCACAGAAAATAGTGTTTGCGCTTCAGAAAGTAGTTCTTGGACCTCTGTTCACCACTATCATACGTAAAAGCACCTCTCTTTACTCCTTACTCTCTCTTTTTCCGTTCATTTTAGAAATTTTCCGCATGTATTCTCGGTCGTAATTGTTTTTCTCTTCTTATTTTGCTATCTGTCAGATGAGCGCGTTTTCGGCGCATAAAGGGGGCGTACCTGCCAATGGCAGATTGGCCTCATGGTCAGTCCGAGCCTGATCAGACACAAAAATGTAACTTTTCACACAAAATACCACTGACCAAAAATAAAACTCTACCAGAAGAAGGGTGCAAGTTTCTTTCCCCATTCTTAAAAAGATACGTCAACTGAACAAAGCGCTAAAATCCCAGGAGCCGTGTAAGTCAAGCTGTACACGGAAAAAAATTATCACAATTCCAACTATACTCCTGGCTGATTTTCGCGCCAAATATAAGGGTAGTTGCATCAATCAGAGGTACGGTTGAGTCTCCCGAAATTATGGTTTAATCAACCATACCTCTGGTAAGTGGAAATACTTCTATATCCGGTGCCAAAATTAGCAAGGAGTAAAGTAGGGATTGTGAACATTTTTTTCGGTGTATAAAAGAGATCCGGGCGCAACATGTTTTGGTGCTTGATAATTTCCGTAAATTACCGGGTCACTATTAGAGAACAATTTTGAGGAAGTTTATTCTACCATTTCTAATGCACTTTTACATGCGTTAACTGAAAAAAGCGCCAAAATCTCAAGAGCCTTACAAGTTAAGATAGATGAGAGAGACCAAGGTTAACGCTCAACAATTTTTGGCGCTGGGGCCCTTCCGTAAATAACCGGCTCAATCTCTATCTCTTTCTTTCCTTCTTTTCGTAAACAAACAAAAACTGGGAATTTTGAGCCACCGTGAGTATCATCAGGTTAATTTTTTAGACTAAGTCCACGGATGAGACTTGAGGTATCAAAATTAAGAACCTTTTTATAAATTGTAGAATAGGAGTTCAGTTAGTAAGTTTAAGCTTTTGTGGCGCTAGTTTCACTTCGCATTAATATAACTTGGGGCATTTGGGCGCTTTTCTAGAACCCGCTACCAAATTTCACTTCTCGATTTTTAACAGCGTAAATCGTCACCATCCGGCTAAAGTATCACTAGCACCATGCGACATTTCCAAATTCCCGCCGCTATTTTAATTTTTCACAGAAAAACTTTTCAGCGAAGCCGTCCGAAAATTTCACCGAATATTCCTTATGCAGTCGATAAAACTCAGTGAAATTTTTAAACAGATTCAACTAACAATTTCTCTGTAAAAAAATGAGATGGTGGCGAAAATTTTGAAACGTCGCATGGTGCTTGTGATACTGTGAACGGGAGTAGTGGTGAGGTGTGAATGATCGATTATCGATTTTTACCCCTTTGAAGCTATGATAAAGAATCGATTATTAAGGTGTTCGCTGCGAACAGCCTGTTTATCGATCCTTTTTCATCGGTTCAAATGGCAGATCAATCGATATATTGCAAAGCACGCCACGCTCCTGAACTGGAGGTGACGAAAAATTCGTACTTATACAGTGCTTTTTCAATACATTCCCAAGAAATCCAGTACTGTCTTGACAGAAAAATTCAGTTTTTTTCAGCACCCCCATTGACAAAATTTGAAGTTTTTCAAAAATTTGAATGTCTGGCTCGAATTGCGACACTTATGACAAAAAGTGAAAAACATTCCGGACTTCCTTGCGGAATAACGTTCACTAGCTTTTTAAAGAAAAAATAAACTGAAACAGTAAGCCTGCAACGTCGCAGATGGAGATACGTGGTTTTGCACTTTTCCAATCGACGAGCAAGTTTGGGTAATCCATGCCAAGCAGTTTTTTTCTTTTGTTCTTTTTTCTTTTTCTCTTTTTTCTTTTTTCTTTTTTTCTTTGTCTCAAAATTTAACCTTTCCCCTCAACCCTTTTGTATTTTTACTGTTATTTCCATGTAAATTTATCATTGTTACTGCCCTCTTTAGAGGTGTAAATGGCCTTAGATGCTAAAGCACCGCTTTAAAATAAAATTATTTTACTACTACTACTTTCTTTTTTTCTCTGTTCTTTTTTTTTCTTTTTTTTTCTTTTTTTCTATGTTCTTTTTTTCTTTTTTTTCTTTTTTTCTTTTTTTCTCTTTTTCTTTTTTTCTCTTTTTCTTTTTTCCCTTTTTTTTCTTTTTTCCCTTTTTTTTTCTTATATTTTTTCTTTTTTCCTCTTTTATCTTTTCATTTATATTCTTTTATCTTTTTTCTTTTCTTTTTCTTTTTCCTTTTACTATTCTTTTTTTCTTTTATTTTTCTTTTATTTTTCTTTATTATTCTTTTTTTCCTATTTTTTTTCTTTTTTCACTGGGTTCCCCTTTTTTCTTCTTTATTTTCTTCTTTTTTTCTTTTTTCCTTTTTTTTCTTTTTTCCTTTTTTTTTCTTTTTTCCTTTTTTTTCTTTTTTTCTTTTTTTCTCTTTTTCTTTTTTTCTCTTTTTCTTTTTTCCCTTTTTTTCTTTTTTCCCTTTTTTTTTTCTTATATTTTTTCTTTTTTCCTCTTTTATCTTTTCATTTATATTCTTTTTATCTTTTTTCTTTTCTTTTTCTTTTTCCTTTTACTATTCTTTTTTTCTTTTATTTTTCTTTATTATTCTTTTTTTCCTATTTTTTTTCTTTTTTCACTGGGTTCCCCTTTTTTCTTCTTTATTTTCTTCTTTTTTTCTTTTTTCCTTTTTTTTCTTTTTTCCTTTTTTTTTCTTTTTTCCTTTTTTTTCTTTTTTCCTTTTTTTCTTTTTTCCCTTTTTTTCTTTTTTCTTCTTTTTTTCTTTTTTCTTCTTTTTTTCTTTTTTCCTTTTTTTTCTTTTTTCCTTTTTTCTTTTTTCATTTTTTTCTTTTTTTTCTTCCTTGTTTTATCTTTTTTTTTTCTTTTGTGAATTTTCGACCAGAAAGCGAGGCTCAAGAGCCCGAGCGCTCGGAACCAGAGCAAGACCACCGCGACGGCGGCCGTTGATGAACATAAAATGCGCGGCCACGCTCGCGGGTCGCTTGAGCCGCGTCTTTGAAAAGAACGGGATAAGGCCCCACCCGGGCCACAAAGCCGCTCCTCTGGCGTAAGAGCCTAACTCAATTTCAACATGAGCCCAGTTTCACGTATAACTATATGCTTTTTGAGGCTCATGTTAAAACATAGTCACACCCTTACGTCAAACGAGCGACTAAATCCCGATGTCCCGGTCCTGAAGGCGAAGGCCCTTGTCCGTATTTCCGTCGCCCTCTTCACGCTCGTCTCGCCGTCTCCCCCCCCC